CCCTGGGACACCTGGGAATAGCTTTGGGATAGTCCTGGGATAGCTCTGGAGTAGCACAGGGATAGCTCTGGGAGACCTGGGATAGTGCTGGGAACACCCTGGAACAGCCCTGCAATCCTGGGAGTTTCTATCCCAAGGATATTCCCTGGGAGTTCGGGCAGCTGTGCCTTGGGATGAGCCCTCCCTGAGAGGGGCAGGAAAACTGGGAATGGGGGCCCTGGAGCCACCTGGGACCCCCCCAGGGGCTGGATTTGGGATGTTCCTGGGAACAGAACACATCTCATTCCAGGCTGGGAGCCTCTGGAATCCCAGTGGAACCCTGGGAGCCCCTGGAATGCCACATCCAAGGCTTTTCTGGGCAGCTCCAGGGATGGAGGAGGCTCCAATTCCCCCCTCCCAGGGCCATCCCTCCCTCTGGGAACATTCCTGGGAGCACTCTTGGAATGCTGGGGGTTTATATCCCAAGGAATTCCCCCCCTGGGAGTTTGGGATGGGCAGCTCCCAGCATTCCAGGCTCCAGGAGCTCCTCCATGATCTCCCTCATCCCAAATGTAGCTCTGGAAGGGCAGGGAATTGCAGGCATCTGATTCCAGGCCAGTTTTTCTGGGAGAGCCCCTGCCCTGAGGGGCTCCTGGAGGGCAGGAGAGCTCCCAAATTCCCGAATTCCTGCTCCCTGGGGCACGGGAATTGCTCCTGGAGTGCCATTCCCTCCTCCTGGGGGCTGTTCCAGGGGGAGGCTCCTCCAGGGCCCCTTCCCAGCAGGTTTTTTTTCCATGGAATCAGGGAATCCTCGTGGTTGGAAAAGCCCTGTGGGGTCAAGGAGTGCGACCGTTCCCAGGTGGTTTTTTTGGGACACTCCCAGGGATGGGAATTCCAGACCCGCCCTGGGCAGGCCCTTCCAGTGCTTTACAGCCTTTTCCATGCAGGAATTTTCCCAGTATCCAACCTGAGCCTGAGGCCATTCCCTCTCCTGCTGTCTGGGAATTCCAGAGAGGGAAAAGGTCCCCCTGAGCCTCCTTTTTTCCAGCTTTTCCAGCCCCTTCTTGTCCCGAGGGATCCAAAGCTGCCCCCCAGAATTCCAGGCCCCACCAGTGTCCACACAGGGGGAAAAATTCCGTGTCTGGGGGCAGTTTGGGGTGGGAAAAACTGGTCCCAAGGAATGCATGGAATGATCCTGTCCCGTTCCAGGCTGTGCCATGAGCGGCCTCATCGCCGATGCCAAGACCTTGATTGACAAGGCCCGAGTGGAGACTCAGGTGAGAGCCCCAACTCCCGACCCTAAAACGGCCCCACAAATCCTGGGAATGCCCTTGGAGTCCGGGAAAAAGGGAAGATCATCCCAGGAGAGGAGCTGGAATGGGAAGGGTGTGGAGGGGGAGCTCTGTTTTGGGTGGGGTTTTTATCCCCCTGAATTTCCTGGATATCCCAAGGTCCCAGGGACAAATCCCTGCTGGAGTAAACATTATCCCACATACTATCCCTGCACATTATCCCACATATTTCCTCCCTATTATCCAGGGATAACCCTTTCCCAACCTTATCCCATCCTGCTGTTATCCCGAGCTTTGCTCATCACGACGCTTCCCGGGACATTTCCGCCCTTCCACGCCCCAAGTTCCACGTGGAAACGATCCCTGTGTTCACCCCCCAGCCCGGGAATTCCTGAGAATCCTTGGGATAACAGGAATGTTTGTCCCTGCAGAACCACTGGTTCACCTACAACGAGACGATGACGGTGGAGAGCGTCACCCAGGCCG